TTTTTTTTAGGTTTTAAAAAAGATAATTGACACTCTAAAGCAAAAGTAATGTATTGTGGGGTTTATAACTTATGTCGATGTAAAATGCATGACAAGAGCACAAAGGTTAGGAAAGGGGAAACGGAAGTACAGTGTTCTGAGGTTCTTATGCTACATGTGAAGTGGTGTAATGCTATTTAAAGGTAAACCATGGGAAGGTAAAGATTTATATTATAAAGCATAAAGCAACCAATTACAAAATAAAACAAGAAGTATTAATAGTAAATCTACAAAGATAAAATTCAATAAAAAATTTTTCAATCACTTCAAACTTAGCATAATCAAACGGAATTCACCTTCCTAAGCAAATCTCATTCAATCCTGGGTATCTTCATGAAAGACACTACCTGGATGTCATTATTAGTTGCCCCTTTCTCTGTCCTTCATTCCCACTTATGTAATTAATTGTCATACCTTATAACACAAAGCCAGATACTGTTCTAAGTGCTTTTTCCACTCATTAATTCTTTTAAAATGAGACACGTACCTGTAATAAGATTAAGTTTATTAATGCCTAGGAAGTAGTATAGATAAACACTGTGAAACTGTAAAGGAGGGAAGAATGACTATAAACTAGGATGGCCGTGAAAGGCAAAATGGAAGCAGACCTGAAAATCGGGTAAACAAAAAGGGGAAAGCATTTCAAGTGGGGCCTATGAAGTGAACAAAGACTTAGACAGGCAGGAACAAATATAGTTGTGTGAGTCATATAAACAGTTAGGGCTGAATCGAGAAGAGAATATAAGGCAGGAATTCTCAAACATTTTGGGTCATAACCTTTTACATTCTCAAAATTACCGAGGATTCAAAAGTTTTTGTTCATGTGATTACATATATCAATATTTACTGTACTTGGTAATTAAATATTAAAGTTTAATTAAATTAAATTTTAATAGACTTTTCAGGTCATTATGGATATTCTTTTCTGACACTACCCCAAAATTCAACAAGTGGTAGTTTCTTAAAGGTTAACTGTAATGTGGAATTGGAAACAATATCAGTGAACAAAAATAAACTTTCCATATTCTGAGATCTTATAAGCCACTGATCTGTCTCAAACTTCGAATAAACTTCTTACCCATGCATGACTTTATAACATGATGCATTGGTCATTTGGAAATATAGGTTCACTGCATTATGTGGATCCTGCCAATGTTGATGAATCTCTTTACAGAATATCAAAAAGTCACATTTAAATACAACCACTGAGTTAAAAGTCTTTGAAGTATTGGGAAGCCGACCTACTCACAGTGGATATAAACTAAACAAAATTCAAAATTCAAAATTTATCATTGGCAACATTTATTGTCAGTTGTTTTCAACCACATTGTACTTGAGAATGTAGACTTAATAAAATAAATACTTATTTTACTGGTTCATCAATGGAATTCTTAAATGAAACGGACATGTTTTGATTTTTAACTGGGAATTTGTGGTGGTGAAGAATGACTACAAGCCAGTCTGATGCTACTGCTTTGATACATGCAAAGTTGTCAGAAGTTTTACATCATCTGCATCAATGTCAACAGAGTGAAAAAGATAAATAACATATTAATAGTAATATGGAATAGGTTTTTCGTTGCAGATTCCCTGAAGTGGTCTCAGGGACCACCAGAGGATCACAGACCACACTCTGAACTGCTGACATAAGAAAAAACGAGGAGACAAAGCTTCTAAAGGAGAGCCTCCAAGGCATCAAGCAGTTACTTAAAGCTCCCAATCTAAAAACAGGCACTTGATCCCTCTGACCCTATTTGCATGCCAAGTAATTTTAGACTGGTGCCCTGAATATTGTAAATGTTTCAGTTGTAAAGATCCTGTATTCTGTTCTTATCAAATGAGCATTTTTGTTTTGTTTTAAAGCAGGTAATTATTTTTGCTGAACCTGATGTGAACTATTGGGCAGCAGCTCCTGTCTCAGTTCAGATCTCTGTCTTTCATTAAGCTGCTCTGAATCTATTACACCGCAATGATTCAAGTTCAGTCAGAGATGCAGGCAGGCAGAATTTGAGCACTCTTTCTCTGGCTCTTTCCTCTGCAGGACTCTTTCACTCTCTTCAGTGGCCAACGTTTCCCCAGCGTCAGTTTTCTAGCTTCCCTATTCTCCCTGGTCAGAAAGCCCAACAATCCTCCCACTGGCACTTCCCTCCCCGCCTTACTATACCTTCCAACTGCACTTAGCCCCAGGCTAAAAGCTCCCTACCTAGGTTCACAGCTCCTGTTTGCTCTAAAAGTACAGTGACTTCAGGCAGCTGCTTTTTGGTATATTACGTAGCATTATGCACAGGTTTCAGAGCTGCCTTTTTTGTGGGGAGTCGTATGGTAGGGTCTTCCTCCATATTACCAGATGCAGAAGTCCTCCACAAAAGGTTTTTACCTGAGGAATTAGCATAATGAGATTTGCACTTATAAAAGGATTTCTCTGGTGGCTGTGAGAGAAATAGTCTTAAGATAGCTAGAGGTGTGGGGAGAGCAACAGGAAGAGTCCATGGTAGCCCACAAAAGAGACCATTTAGCAAATAAAGTACCTGGTCTACCTTGGTTTATAAAGATTTTACTGAAAAAATCGGATACATTTTGAATATACTGAAAGCAAAATATCCAAATCTCACCTTTTCAACTGCTTAACACAGTCAAGAGGCTAAACATCGTAAGTCATTCAATCTAACCCTTAGGTAGGGTTCATTTTAAATCACCTCTAATCCTCCAAATTTCCAGAGAACAAGATTTCACTAGGTTTTTCAATAGATTGTTTAGCATTTTACATTCATATACTGCCTGTTAATCTCTCCGAGATCACAAGAAACAGGAGCGTGCTTATTCCTTCTTGCAGTTACTCTGTTCTTGATTTATTATTTCTCAAGATTGTGAAGCAAAGATGCTTAACTCTCTCCCCAGGTGACCATTAAAAATACAATCATGTTCTTTCTTTCATTATATCTCACTTGATGTTCCCCTAGGTAAACAACACTGTTTGAACATGTTTGAAATCTCTACCATTTAATGAGAGATTCTTACTGAAATATAAGAATCAAAAACCATGGAAGTCTGCTCTGATTCTTGATCTGTATGTTGGTAATCTGGGTATACTCAATTTGTAAAAAATTCAATTTGTTAAAAAAAAATCAATTTGTAAAAAAAAAAATTCTTTGAACTATAATTTGTTACTATAACTTTCTATATATATGTTATACTTCAATAAAGAAAAAAACCCTAAAGTCCATCAAAGCTCATATATGCCTATGATATGTCTCTTCTCTAAAATGCCCATTATTCTCACAGGAAAAATTCACATATTCTATTTGTGTGTCATGACTTGTCTTCATAGTTACCCACTACCACTCTACCCCATTTATGATTAAAAAAGCAATATGTGTTAATTTCTTAAAAATTCAAACATTAAAAAAAATCTATAACCTCATCTCCTAGATCTGCCACACTTAGAATTTAAATTCAGAGGCTTATGACTTCCACACTTTGCTATTATTAAAATATTTGTACCCTTTTCCAGACTTTGTGCACATCATTTTTTCTCCAGAAATTCTCAAAAATAAAGGAATATTGTTTAGAATCCTAGAATGCCAGTAATTAAACTAAACAGGTTTGAACACAAGCAATTTTTAAGCAGTAAATTTCTACTATTTCCTCACAATTTTCAGAGCTCATGTCTTTTCTGTATCCTCACAATGTCAACCTCAATGCAAGGCATACAGCAGATGTGTGTTGATGGAAATAAATGCAGTTCTCTAAAAGAAATGAGAATAGTCACTTTCAGATGATACAATAATGCCTTGATTTCAATTTTCTAGGAAGAGAGGGCACAGAAGCCTCAGGAAAGTATTCTATCTACCTTTTTTTATTTATTAATCTGTTTATTTCTTTTTGCTACTTTAAAGGAGTTACCAAATTCAATCATAGCAATATAATGTCTTTCTATCAAACTCCCTACTTCCTTCCTTTTCTATCCACTGTCTATACAGCAATACAAGAAAAGCAGTAAGAAACAAGTCATCTCTTAACCACTACATTTTTTTAAATATGAAAAATTTAAATTAAGTTTATACATACAGATTGGATTCTAATGTAACTAAAGTCAATTTTTTCATTGCCATTTCTATCTACTGATATAAATGAAGAGATATGCTTAGCATGCAACAGCTGCAAAAGAAATCAACTTTAAAAATCTACAAACCCAATGATTAACAAAGTATTATTCAACTCTGAAGATTTAAAGAGCATAACAGAAGAGCTTCATGCAAATATTTTACGATCACTACATAGGAAATGCCACCTTTACTAAAATAAAGCCTTGCCACTAGCTTACATGGTATAGATAGAATACCTCAGGAATATGATTTGCACCCTTCTAAGGCTATAAATAACAACTGTAATTGTGTAGATTTTTGGACTGTCGTCAACAGTGAAACAAAAAAATCATATTAAATTGAACTAAAATTTTGTACTTTTAAATCATCTCAATAGGATAATTTCAAAACTTCTATCATTTTGTTGAAATTTAAGTACAGACATTTAAATTTTCAAACATGACACCTCTATTTTAAAGTTCCCAAATATTTTAAAGAATTCTGCTTTGTTTTAAAGTGCTAACCTTTAAGAAAAGCTATTTCTAAATAAATTGCTGTATCAGAGGGTCTGGGAGCTCAAAGAAAACTCCGTTCTAATATTCCTCTTGATTCTTGGGCTATACACTGAAATCACATTATTCATTAAATTGCATATTTGTTCTTGGGGTACATTTTAACAAAACAGCTCTCACTAACAGATGACTGTTAGCCATACACATATGAATATCTATAATAGCTAGTTACTTACTGAGAGCCATGCAAGAGATTCCATGATTCGATGTTCACATCGTTCTAAATGTTTAATCATTTCTCTGGTCAAGTTGGCTTCTGCTTTGATAAAACTTTCAATCACTTTGTAAAAATCAAAAGCTTTTAAATTGAGTACATTCAAAATCCATGGAAAGGACAAATCTGTTCCAGTATCAAGATTCTGAGACGTACTTCCTAAAAATGAAAGAAAAAAATGTAACTTAGATATGGATTGTTAAGCCTTGAACTAACATATTTTTCAGTTGGAAGGTTTTATCAAACAAACAATTAAAACACAGTAGAAAGGCTAAGCAAAAATTTTTATTTAGAACAGACTTTTTTATTCCAGGATCCACAGACTCCTAGGAAACAAGCTTCCAAAGTCTGAGTATGTGCATAGATGTCTTTCCTAGATAGAAGGCTCATAGCTTATATCCAATTTTCAGAGGTTTAAACATCCTAGACTTGTATCAGGGACAGGTTTAACATCTAACCAGCAATGTATTAGCGTATCCATTTAAACTGTCTCATTAATCCCTTGTTAAGGGAGGAAAAGATTCCTTAAGATTTTGTTAATTTGATTGGTTAGAAAATGGTACCTGTTTTAATTGTGCACCTCTTGGTTATAAATGAGGATTCAGTTTTCCATATTTATTTACTAATTTAAGTTTCTCTTTCATTATATATTTGAATCCTTAGATCCTCAAATTTTCTTCCTTAGTTTTTATGCAAACAAAGCTTTTTTTTTGATATTTGCAAAATAATACATGTTTAAAATTATATTTTAAAAAAGCACTACCAGTGGCCTCTGTTCTGTTTATCTGGTGGATTCTAGCTCCAATCTTTGGTATCATGACCACAGAATATATATGTAGCAGTGCTTCCATATCAGTGATAGTGTTCCTCAGGCATTTTACAACCTTATAAGCCTTCGAAGGGATTTCAATAGTCACGTTTCCTGGATTCAGGAGAGCCCAGAACTGGAGCCCAGTGAAACTATTTCCAAGATGACCTGAAATAATTCAGCTTAATAAGCCACTTACAAGGTTTATGGTGAACAATTACTTACTTCATTCTTGATTTAAAATATTTCTTCTCCTTAACTCCTCCATCCCCACCCCCAACCAAAAAAAACAAAAAAACAAAAAAAAACCCAAAAAAACCCCGACATCACACCTTAGGTAAGTTTTTTTAAACTTTAAATTGAACCGAAATATTTATTTACTAAAATTTAACTTACTGCTATATGTAGCCATAACAACCTCAAGAGCGCATGCCAACAAAGACTTATGAAAGATGTCGTCATTCAGCAGTTTGCTAAAGGAAGAAGAGAATGATTTTATAATGTTTACATTTATATAAAGAAGAAATTGTTTTACTAAAACAAAAATTTACCTAAAATTCTGAATGGATAATCGTTCTTCTTCCTAAAACAGATAAAAAAAAAATATTTAACTGAAAACTTTTTTTATGTTGGCATTGAATATTTTTTCTATTATGTTCTTCTTAACTTACTGATTTAAGCATGGATTCCATTACTCGGTAATACAATCGGACTCCAAGTTTATATCGCTACAAACAAACAAACAAAAATTAGATTCCACTATTTTAGAAAACCATAACAACTACTAATTTTTTAAGTTTTCTCTTGAGTCACATTTCTGGCCCTTCCTAGGAATATGGCTACCAAGACACCACAAAAGTTAGCACACCTGAAACTCAAGACTTCAGTGTAAAATGAAGGTTAGCATTCCTGATAAATTTTCAGAAGAAGAGGTCCAGTACTTGGTTTTCCTTCATTTCACTTCAGTCTACATCATTCATCATACATATATGTACTAAGAACATACTATGTCCCTGGGACTATTTTAACCATTTTACATACTAATGTAATACTTTTTGTGTCCTAGGACATGTATTTTCAAGATAGCTCTCCAGGATTAAGACAATTGTCTCTTTCCATAAAAATGGCCAAGGCACATAACAGACTAACTGATCTTATCAGCAAAAAGTTTTACTCTAATAACTAGTTTCCATTAGCCTAACAAACAGTCACATTTTAGATACACACACATTTCTTCATTGCAAATTATGAGTACAAATTTCAAATATAACCAAAAAGAACTTTTAAATATAATTCTGTAAAACACTGACGACATCAAAATATAACCTCACTAGACTGAAATAAACATGTATAGTACATTACAGTTTTCAAATATAATTTTTATATATTACCACATTACTGCCACATAGCAAAGTAGAGCAAAATATCAAAACCTGAATCTCAGAGGAGTTAAATGACAGCTTATGTATGACAGAACCAGATATAAATCCAGGGTTCTGATCCAGAGCCCATAATCTTACCAAATTTAGTTTCGGATTTTCTGAAATAATGATAGCAGCAGTAAAAATAGTATCATTCAATAATATCACAGATAAACGGCAATGTATAAAATGATCCTATTCATATAAGTACATGCATACATGAATATTCATATATATAAAAGTTAAAGAATTTACACCAAAAACTTAATATTATCAAGATTTAAATGTTTTTTCTTACTTGTATTTTCTAAAATTTTTCCAAAATTTTCTGCACGTTTACTTTTGGTTTTTGCAATTGAGTGAGGGGAGTTGTCCCATAAAGTTTTCCATAAACAGTAGCATACTCAGGCAGCTGGGATATGATATCTGCCAATATTTTATACTATTGGACAAATACTATTACAGTATTCATACAATATGGACGATGTTGCATTTGAAATTATTTACTATATAGAAGTACTAATCAAAATGAACTCAAGTTACCTGTGATCCAATTTCTATACATCCCTGTCCCACAGCTTTAGCAAATTTCTCTTTAAAGATGTGTCCAATATTCTTCACTCTTTTCAGGATACTTTCCTTTGGATTCACTGTGCAATTCTTTAAGAATGAAAGACAGAAATCAATGTTGAGGATATTGTTTAATCAGAGAATTAATATTTCCTGTTCTGTAATATATGACATCACTTTTAATGGTTTATACTGTGAAAACATTTCCACAACAAACAAGGTAAATACAACTACTCAAAATATGAAGAACTTAAAGGATTCCACTCTGGGATGCTAGTGACCAAAAAATACGAGAGTACAACTAAAACATCTATTATCTAAATTTTCTGCTGGCAAGTTAGGGAATAACAGATTTGTTAGCCTTTCCATTATTCATCAAAAACAGCCTCACAGATATTACAACTGATAACAGAGAAATACAAAGGATCATAAGAGACTTCTATGAACAATTAAATGCCAACAAACTGGACAACCTAGAAGAAATGGATAAATTCCCAGAAACATACAACCTTCCAAGGTTGAATCATAAAGAACAGAAAATCTGAACAGACGATTACTAGTGAGAAAAATGAATAGGTAATTAAAATACTCCCAATAAACAAAAGTCCAGGACCAGATGGCTTAATTGTGAATTCTACCAAACATTCAAAGAATTACTACCAATCCTTCTCAAACTGTTTTAAAAAACAGAAGATGAGGGAACACTCCCAAACTCATTTTATGAGGCCAACATTACCCTGATACCACAAAGAGGATACCACAAGAAAAATAAACCATAGGCCAATATCCCTGTTGACCAAGGATGCAAATATCCTTACAAAATACTAGCAAACCAAATTCAAGATTACATTAAAAGGGTCATACACCATGATCTAGTGGGATTTATCCTAGGGATGGCAAGGATGGTTTAATATATGTAAATCGATCAATGATACATCACATTAACAAAATAAAAGATAAAAATTATGTGATCATCTCAATAGATGCAGAAAAAGCATTTGACAAAATTCAACATTTATTTATGGTAAAGACTTTTAACAAAGTACATACAGAGAGAATGCACCTCAATCAGATGAAGGTCATATATGACAAGCCCACAGCTAATATCATACTCAACAGGGAAAAGCTGAAAGTTTTTCCTCTAAGGTCAAGAACAATACAAGGATGTCCACTCTTGGAACTTATATCCCACATACTATTGGAAGTCTTAGGCCAATTAGGCAAGAAAAAGAAATAAAAGCCATTTAAATTGGAAAGGAAGAAGTAAAACTATCATTATTTTCAGATGACATGATATTATATATATAAAATTTTTTTAAATTTACAAAAAAATCTGTTAGAACTAGTAAAAAATTAGTGAAGTCACAGGATACAAAATCAATACACAGAAATCAGCTGCATTTCTATACACTAATAACAAACTATCAGAAAGAGAAATTAAGAAAACAATTGCACTTATAATAGCATCAAAAATTACCAAGGAATAAATTTAACCAAGAAGGTGAAAGACCTGTACAATATAAACTTAAGACACTAATGAAAGAAATTGAAAAATACATAAATAAATGTAGATATTCCATGCTCATAGATTGGAAAAATTAATGTTGTTAAAATGCCCCTACTACCCAAAGCAATCTACAGATTCAATAAAAATCCCTGTCAAAATTCCAATCATATTTACACAGAAATAGAACAAATAATACAAAAGTGTGTGTGGAACCAAAAAAGACCCCAAATAGCCAAAGCACTCTTGAGAAAGAAGAACAAAGCTGGAGGCATCAAACTATATTACAAAGCTGCAGTAATCAAAAGAGTTTGCTATTGGTAGAGATCAACGGAACAGAATAGAGAGCTCCAAAATAAATTCATACATAATCAATTAATTACCACAAAAAAAGCCAAGAATATACAATGAGGAAAGGATAGTCTCTTCAATAAATGTGTTAGGAAAACTGGAAAGCCAGTTTCAAAGAAATGAAATTATACCACTAACACCATACACAAAAATTAACTCAAAATGGATTAAAAACTTGAACCTAAGACAAGAAACTCACAAAAAAAAAGTGGGTGATAAGCTCCTTGACATTAGTCTTGGAGATGATTTTATGGAACTGACTCCAGAGAAAAGGCACCAAAAGCAAAAATAAACAAGTGGGACTATTTCAAACCAAAAAGCTTCTGCACAGTGGAAAAAACTATCAACAAAAGAAAAGACTGTCTAATGGATAAGAAAAGGTATTCTCAAACAAAATATCTCATAAAGGGTTAATATCCAAACATACAAAGAACGCATACAGTTTAACATCAAAAAAAAAAAAAAAGCTATCCAATTGGAAAATGGGCAAAGGAATTGAATACACATTTTTCCAAAGAATACATACAGACGGCCAAGAGGCACATGAGAAGATGCTCAACATCACTAATCAACAGAGACATGCAAATCAAAACTACAACGAGGTATCACCTTGTACAAATTAGAATGGCCATCATTAAGAAGTCCACAAACGATAAATGCTGGAGAGGGTGTGGAGAAAAGGGAACTCTCCTACACTGTTGGTAGGAATATCGTTTGGTGAAACCATTATGGAAAACAGTATGTAGATTCCTCAAAAAACTAAAAATAGACTTACCACATCTTCCAGCAATCCCATTGCTGGGCATATATCCAGAGGAAACTACACATACCCCAATGTTCACAGCAGCACTAGTTACAACAGCCAAGACACAGAAGGAACCTAAACATCCATTGACAGATGACTAGATAAAGAAATTGTGGTGCATATGTACACAATGGAATACTACCCAGCCATAAAAAAGAATAAAATGCCATTTGCAGCAACATGGATGAAACTGGAAATTGTTATTCTAAGTGAAGTAAGTCAGAAAGAGAAAGAAAAATACCATATGGTATCACTTATATGTGGAATCTGAAAAAAGGACTCAAGTGTCCTTATTTACAAAACAGAAATAGACTCACAGACATAGAAAATGAACTTACAGTCACGAGGGGGGATAGTGGTGGAGGGGTAAATTGGGAGATCAGGATTTGCAAATATTAACTATTATATATAAAATAGATAAGTGGGAGAGGTATTGCTCAGTGACAGAGCATGCGTTTAGCATGCACAAGGTCCTGGGTTCAATCCCCAGTACCTCCATTACCCAAACAAAACAAAACAAAAAAAATAGATAAATCACAAGGCCCTCTTATATAGCACAGGGAACTATATTCAATATTTTGTAATAGCCTATAATGGAAAAAGAATATGAAAAAGAATATATATATATAACTGAATCACTAGAAACTAACACAACATTGTAAGCTGACTATACTTCAATAAAAAAATCATGAAATAAATAAAGTAAATAAATAAGTAACCAAAATGCAAATTTACAAAAAGAGGTACAAACTTCCAGTTACAAAATAAATGAGTCATAGGTATGAAGTGTACAGTGTGGGGAATACAGTCAATCATTATGTAATATCTCTGTACAGAGACAGATGGTAACCAGACTTAACTGTGGTGGTCATTTTGAGATGTTCAGAAATATTGGGTCACTATTCTGTGCACCAGAAACAAATACAGTGTTGTAGGTCAGTTATACTTCAAAAAACAAACAAACTCATAGAAAAAGAAATCAGACTTGTAGTTACTAGAGTTACTAGAGGCAGGGGGTGGAACTGATTGCAGGTGATCAAAAGGTACAAACTTCCAGGTGTAAGATACATAAGTACTAGGGATGTAGCGTACAACATGATTAATGTAATTTACACTGATGTATGTTATATATGAAAGTTGTTTAGAAAGTAAATCTTAAGAGTTCTCATCACAAGGAAAACATTTTTTTTAGATTTCTTTTATTTGGCATCCAAATGAGATGACGAAGATTCACTAAACTTACTGTGATAATCACTTCACGATGCATGTAGGTCAAATCATAAGCTGTGCACCTTAAACCTATACAGAGCTGTATGTCAATTACATCTCAATAAAACTGGAAGAAAAAAATGTCTACAGCTTCTGAGATTTTACTTACACAGAAGGAGATGGCATTAATTTTTAAAATGAAGAAATCTGAACTGATAAAGAAGTAAAAGTCAAAGAACAACTTAATGATCTTCAAGATATGCCCATTCTGAGACAGGCGATTTGTAGTGTACATAAAACTTTGCAGTTAAGCTGTTAAGCTTCATTTAGTGTTAAGCTTTAATCTCCAGAAAATGTCTTTGAGGCAGAATTTTCTGCACAACTGAAGTATTTTAAAATAAAAGAGAGTTCTTGCATACTACAAATGCTGGAGGAAATACTGAAATCAGTATTTAAGAAGAGAGAGATTATCATCCCCTCTAAAACTTCTAAGTAACTGGGTAGCTATGTTTCGGAAATATTCTTGTGCTACATATAATCCACAAATAAAAGCAACATTATGCAAACTGGACAAACAAAATTAGTTCTGAGCCAACACAATTATGAATATGATGACAGAAAATACTTTGTTAATTCCTGGGGGGGAGTACAAGTAAGAAGATGACAACAGAATATGACAAAACCACAGGCAGTTTATGACATTAAACAGAATGTTAACTACACGAAGCACACAGTTACCAGAATAAGCCAAATTTTAATGTCTCTTAGCCTCATCCAATTTGCATGGAAGTCCCAAGCCTTATCATTTGATTTTAAACAAGGAGTGGAGGAGCAATCAAGGAATATAGATGCTAGTTTTCATTCCTTCTCTTTCTCTCTCCCCTTTTAGAGGGGAGCGAGGGTAGCAGGGACCCTTCAGGTATCAAACTCAGGGTCTATCAAGAGTTGGAAACTGCACTGCGCACAGACAGGGCCACACAAGAAATGTAAATGAAAATGGGCTAAGTGAAAAAGACTATAGAGATATGGCAAATGTTAAATCCTGTCTAATGTCACATTCAAAGAAAAGACCTTAAAAGCAGCCAGAGAGAAAAGATAGATTAACTATAAAGGAATAACAATTGGATTGACAGAAGACTTCTTAATAGCAACCATGAGAGTCAGGAAAATAGTAAAGTAGTATCTTCAAACTTCTAAGAGAAAGTAAAGGTCAACCTAGAATTGAAGATCTAGGGAAACTATCTTACAAAAAATAAGAGTACAGATATTTTAAGACAAAAAACAAAACAAAACCCTAGTAAATTCATCCCAAACTAACCCTCATTAAAGGAATTATTAAAAGATGTATCTGAAGAAAGAAGGAAATAATTTTGGAAGTGAGGTCTAAGTTGTAAGAAAGAATGGTAAGCAAGGCAAATAGTAAACATGAGAAAAAAACAGTCTAAATAAAACAATGCTACTGATAATATCTAACTTGGAGGGTTTAAAAAAGCAAGAAATAAGATAACAGACAATACATGCTGATTGGGAAATTAGTGTTTAAAAAATACTCAGTATTTTAACTTCTAATTTCAAATTTCTTTGCCAAAATATCACAATAAATGCTTCATACTTGGCTTACATTAAAGTAGGAAATCAGGTTTTCTGATGGTTGATCACTTGATGAATTTAAGATCATCATTAATTGCTGAATGGTATTCATAACAGTCCTATGGAAAAAAAATAGGAAGTAGTGTTAAGCAAAGAAGGAACAAAAAGAAAAAATGATATGTGTCTATTTCACAAGTTACATACTATTTTCAATCTCACAGTCTTCTGTTTCTCTCTAAGAAGTGCTCTGAAGTAATTAAGACTTTACAAAACCCTTAGTGTGGAGTTGTTCATAAGGAACTAGGAATTACACTTTAATCTTTAAGAAAGGGTATATCCATAATCAGTAAGTTTGTAATTAAAGAACTGATATGCTTATTTACTAATAAAACTATATATCAATAAAACTGGTCAAAGTAATGACATTATTTTAAGGAGAAAACATAAAAATGGCATCAAAATAGTAATCTTTTGAGAAAAATTATGATGATTAACTATTAAAATTTTTCAAAAAAGACAGTAAGATATTTAGTAACTCAAGTAAAGAACCAAGTGACTGACTGTCCTTTACAGAGATCTTCAAGATAAAAGCATATGTAATTTTAGAGGTCATCATTGCTAAAACATAAAAGTAGGTCAATCTCCTAAGATCTCTTTAATTGTATAATTTTGTGTGTGTGTGTCTGTGCATGTATGGGTGGTATATGGTAAATATTAATGTTCCAATTTTGGAATAGCAGTACATTGTTACTCTGTAGGCAGTGTTTAATGATGCAAAAAAACTAGAATGTTTATGGCTGAAAAGGTCCTTAAATATTATTTAATGAAATATGTTTGGTGTTCTCAGTCAAGCCTCTCTAAACTGCTATCTACACTTCCTAGAAGAAGAAGAATATGCTAAATATGAATTCATCAACTATTTATCAAATCTGGTCTTGCTCTTTCATTCCCACTGCCTACCTCTTGGTTCAGATCTTTAGCGTCGCTTAACCAAATTACTGCAATAGATCATTTTGACAGAGATTTTGCCTACGTCTACGGCAGCAGGGTCTGGGCATATGTAATTTGAAAATAAAAACTCAGGTTATCCTAATTTGCACCCCTGGTTTAGAACCGCTGAGACAGACAGGTCTCTCTATTTCCCACCACGTCCTCTTCAGTCCATCTCTTCACAAACTACTACTACATAACCTTTCAAAAATCAAGTCTGATTTAATCCTATCCCTGCTTAACCCCCCATGTACTGTATATTCTGCACAAGCTGCTGAAGTCCAACCTTGTGAGTATGGAATATAAGGCCCTTCATGATCTAGTACCCACCCTCCTCTCCTGCCATCTCATCTTCCTACTTAGTTAATCACCTCAGAGCTGCTTACAGCTCCCCAGACACATCGTGTGGTCTCATACTTTGGTGCCTTTGCACAGACCATCACAGTCTCCTGTGACACAACTTAACATGTTTCAAAATTCAGTTCAAACATTACTTCACAGAGTTCCTTCTGTGGCATCTCATTAACTTGTCATAAGCCTATTACTGTATTTAAACAAAAATAAATTTTTATATGTACATACAGTCATTTGAAAAGTATTACTGATTGCCTACCATGTACCAAGTATTATCCTGGGTCCTAATTATCAAATGGGGAACAAAAAAGTCACGGTCCATGCGGTATGGACTTAAAAGCTACTGTGGGTATTGGCAAAAATAAGCAAACATACAAATGAATTTATAATTACAAATTGTGATACATACTATGAAGGAATAGAGCAGGATGCTGTGAGAAAGAATAATATTGGAAATACTTCAAAGAGAAATAAATCATTAAAAAAGCAGTATCTGTACAGGAATCACATCATAATAAATGTGTTTAAAAATAAAAAATAAAAAGTAATATTTGTGCTAAACCTAAAGAAAGAGTAGCAGCTGGTTGTTCATAGAAAGAAAAGAAAGAAGAGTTTCAAGAAGAAGGAGAAGCAAGTGTGAAGGTCCTCAAGTACAAAAGAACTTAGAGAGTTCAGGAAACTGGCTAGTTCATCTTGAGTACGAAAACGAGATTGGAGAAGATAATATAAGCTAGATCATAGAAGATCTTATAGGCACTGTTAAGGAATTTGCATTGTATTCCAACTGCAACAGGAAGCAATCACAAGTTTTAACAGCAGAGTGAACGTGACCTCATTTACATTTCTAGAGTATTATTCTGGGGGCTCTCTGGAGAACATACTTGTGGTGCGGAGAGAGGAACAGTCATGAGAGTAGAAGCAGCAAGATCAGCTGGAAGGTTACTGCAAAAAAAATCCAAGAGAAAGAGAAATATCTTGGACAAGGGAGGTAAGAGTAGAAATGGAGAAAAGCAGATGGACTTAAGAAATACTCTGGAGGTAGACTCAACAAGCCTTAAAAACAGATTAGATGTGGGAAGTTAAGTGAGGAAAAAGACATAAAAAAATGGTTCTAATCCTTCCAGGTTACACAGACCAAATAGTGATACTTTTTTTCTTTTTTATTTACTGAGATGGGACACATTCTCACTCTAGGTTATATTCCTTAAGGATAGGCAGAACTATGTGTAGCAATCGTATCTTCAGCAACTAGTGAAATATCTGGCACACAAAGAGCACTCAATATATATTTGTTGCATGTCATTGTCAACAAATGAATAAACCCAAAGCACTATAAAGCAATGAATAAATAATTATAATGAAAATCAAAAGTAAGAAAACTCATACCTAACTGGAGTCTGTGGAAGAATCACATTCACCTCTTCGTCGGGATTACTTTTTTGTGGAGTTCTCTGCATTTCAGAACTAAATAACGATAAGCAAAGTCATTCTAATGGAAAATTTACAATTTGTGCTTTATGAGTCAAAAAAGCAGTACATTACCTTCTGCTGCCTCGTAACATCATACAAAATGGTTAAGTAAATAACAGAAGTGATAGGAAATAGATGATCCAAAAGATGCTTAAATAAATAAAATTTTATTTTCATTATTGTTTTTAAGTTGGGTTTCTTTCCATAGGTTTATGACAAATAGATGTACAAACATCAAGAATATTTTGAAAGTGAAAGTTAGATGTTTGTTTTCTCCAGAATATTAGATATTGATGACATTACTAGCCAAGCTGTTCAGTATTAAAAAATATCAAAGCTCAAGTTTTTCAATCATTATGCCTTCCAAAAAACTTTACTTTGACTTAAATAAAATTAAAAACACTTTTCTTATGTTTAACTTCCAAAGTGTATATGTACGTGTGTGTGTGTGTGTGTGTGTGTGTGTGTGTATTAAGTTAATATTTAAAGATTTCATGCTGAAGACATAAAATTAACCACACCTGATGATTCTAAAATTTTGTACAGGCACATCTCATTTCATTGCACTTCACTTCATTGTGTTTGACACATACTGTTTTTATTTTACGTATTGAAGGTTTGTAAACCCTGCATTGTCAGATAATGGTTAGCATTTTTTTAGCTATAAGGTATTTTTAAATTAAGGCATGTACATTGTTTTTTAGATATAATGATACCACACATGTAATAGACTATAGTACAATGTAGACATAACTTTTATAAGCACTGGGAAACCAAAATGTGTGTGAGTTGCTTCATTGCAATATTCACTTTATTGCAGTGCTCTGGAACCAAACCCACAATATCTCAGAGGTGTGCCTGTAGTTAGTCTCAACCAGTCCCACTTCAGGATTTTATATGACAATTCAAGAGAATGCAATTTTACATTAACTTTTAAAAAATGAAGCAGCATATTAACAAATATAAATATACCATGTACAATACCTGTCTGTAGGATCAGCCTGAAGAGTTTTATCATGATCCAGAAATAATCTTGCATCTAGATCTTTGTTTTTAAGGTAAATTTCTTCATACTGTTTAGAGAGACTTTCCACCTCAAAAGAAAAAAATATTAATGATTATCTTTTTCATGTCATTATATCTCAGTGCACAGAAGTACAGATTTAATTACAGAATTTTTGTAAAACATACACTTAATTTTGCCTTATATAGACTTCACACACAATATAAATAAGGCATATCTAAATGAGAAGTAAAGAAAACTGCAAAATTTTTCAACTCTAATTTTAAACCTATTTTATGTACCCCAGACATTAAAATTTTATCTAGACAAGGATCACCAATGCTACAGAAGAATACTGAAATGGAACATAAGACAAAAATTTAATTGCCAAGATCTTCCATTCCAAATACCCCTCACTTTTAATCTTCTACTACACTTATCAATATAAAATAATTTTTCAAACACTGTAACAAATCTTCTTGATTCAAATCTTGATTATACATTCTGCCTATCTTTTCTTTGCATTCTTTGGTTCACTCTGACTCCCCTAATTTAAGTATTCTGGGCAAGAGTATTTGCTCAATTAATTACTCCAATTAACATATTTGCACAATTTATTTCCAATCTTATACACTTTTTCAATTGCTAGAATCTGCAGTTCTTTTATTAGTTCTGACTCATAATTTTCTAATCATGATATAAAAACCAATGCTCAACAGACAACAACTATTGAGCATACCTTCTGCAGTGACTTTTAAAGCTAAAGTGTTTCCAACCTGAGAGAGCCAAAACTGTATTCTAAAAGGAGTGGTAGGAAGAAACCCAGTTAAACGTAAACTTTTTGTTTGTCTGCATACGTTTTTAAGGCAGAACAGTCATTCATGTTTGGCTAAGTTTAATTGTTGTTCCTGCCTTATTTCAGTGAGGCACTAATTATCAATCATTTATTGATCGGTAGCTATTAGTGCTATATGAAAAATACTGGGGAAATAACAATAACAACAATTCTGTAACCCTCTCATAGGGAAAAAAATTACCAGTGTCCAAGATTCTTTGTAAACAGTGTATTTTGGGGGACATAAGTTGGTAACAGGGCTCAGTAATACAGTATGTGGCCTCTACTTGTCTCGTTAGTACCATGTCTTAACACTCTTCTGCTCTGTATCCCAATCTTCATGAGTTAGTTGGAGTCCACTGAACAGACCTGGAAATGTCACTTCTCATGAATCTTAGCTCAGAAATCACATCTCCTCCAAACAACTTTCCACAAAACCTATCTGCCCCACTTTGGATTAGGTAGCCCTTCTCTGAGGTATCACAACACCCTGTGCACACATCTGCTAGACTCTTGTAGACTCCTGTAATGTTCTACTTCATCTTTCTCTCCCATTAGCACCTTAATGACAACTGACTGTGAGTTAAATCTCTACTAATGATATCTAGCGAAATGCCTGGCACATATTAAGCACTCACCAAATAACTGTTAAATGAATAAGCTCCTTAATTCAAGGACTAGCTACCTGATTCAGCCTAGCTATCTGATTTCAAGTCTTTTGGTCTTGGTGACTCATTCTAGCTGCTTCTAAAACATTGCTTTATCACTGAGAACTTGTCTTCATCCTTTATCCAAGCATCCTTTTGTCCACATATTTCACTTTACCACATAAAGTTCTCAGTTGTTGTGTTCTCATTGAAGAGCAAGATATTTGAGGCAAAATGTGAAAAGGAACAGGTAGATGGATGGCATACCTCTAAGGAAAACATTTCTACAATATAATCACAGTTGTTTCAACTGAATTTATTCCCAATTAAGTAATTCTTTAAAATACTCAAAAGAGATCCTCCAAAGTACAGTAATGTCAATAATACTGACAGCACAATCATGGAGCCTATGTTTAAGGAAATGTAGCAAAGTGAATTAGAATAAAAACTAGATTGTGGAAATTTGGTTACATTTAAATATTTAATGGCATTTAGAAATTCAAAAGCCTATATTTTGATTTTCGAAAAATTTCAGTATAAATCAATTTCTGTTGATTAAAAAAGGCTGCTTATTTATACATTTGAGCATATACTCAAAATGATTTTTTGTTATTATATGAAGTTGATTCACCACAATTCTATTTAGATTCTTTCCTGGAGTGAAAAATATTTAACATAAAGTGATCTTAAGAAATTTAGACTATTCCTCCCTCCCAAAAGTCCTAAAACACATTAGCTTTTTATTATGTTTTCTTTCAGATTACCTCTGGAAGTCCATTAGAAGCTACAATTCCAAGAGAATTCATAAAAGGGATAAAATTTTTGAAATAAACATTTTTCACCTGAAAAAGATAAAGTTACAACATGATCATTAAAATTTTTTTAAAATTTCTGTCATTATTAACACAAGACTGAGAGTGTTAACTGACATTTTGATCAATGACTTACATTCAACCCAGTGTGATACTGATTTATAATTAATTCAATTATTCACTTTTTAATTTATGTGAGGCAGATTTCAGGTTATAAAATGGAGGTGCAGGGTTTTATGAGAAGTAAACCCATTGAAACCAACTTCAATATCCCATATTTAACAAATGGTATAAAGATGGGAGACTCAAAAAAATTAAGCAACTTAACCAAAGTTACACAGTGAGGAAGTGGCAGAGCTGGAATTGAAACTCAATCTATCATCAAAGCCAAACTCCTTTCACTTCTCTAAACTGTGTCTGATTTTTTTCCAAAGCATATTTTTTGGCAACTACACACATATGTAGCTTAGGGAATATCAAGTCAATTATTTTAGCATAAATTCAGGAAAATAACTTGTTTTTTAAGAAAATAATTTCAAATACTCAATTCAATTCAAAACCAAGTGAAAATGTTTTGTGGAATTATGCACTTTCAAACAAAAAATCCTACGTTAACATGGACAATAAAGACCATCCCCGGAAAACTTAGAGTTATAGCCCTGGCTATTCTACACTTGCAGTATGTTTTACAATTTTAAACAACTTACTTTTCTTCATTTAATGTCCTTTTCCAACTTTGGAGTCTATGTTTATTAAGGCAGAAATAATTTAAGATCTTCCTATTAATAAGTTTCTATCTTCTATTTCACAAATAAGTTTTAACAATAAAGCTTCTGTAGTATTTATTAGTACAACGTTTTCTAGTTAATTCCCACTTAATTGGAATAGTTATAAGGTAGGTGGTTCTATTTAACCAATTAGTATGACTAACCAATAATTATATAACCATAAATATAAGTACAAATATTTATATAACCATAAATGCTGTATGTAAATAATCAATTAATGTGAATTACCATTAAAGCTATTAATCACCTATACTTTACAAGCCATTATTACATTCTAAATTATTAAATATAATTTTTTTTAAAAAAGGAAAAACATGATTTATTCCTGATTTTTAAAATGCAATTTTATAAGTAGTTCTGAAATTTACAGAATTAACAACCAGGAATTAGAAAACTGCATTTATTCCTATTCATTATCTTCAGGCACTAAGCAACAGACTAGAGAAAAAAAAGCAATATTTCAACTACATTTGTCAGCTTATTAGCAAAGATAATTTGTGATTCTAGAAAAGTAAAAAAGTAAATACATATGTATAAGGTTTATGTATCTATGTATTTGTTGAAATTAAAAGCCACAGTGCTAAAACCCAGATATCTTGAGAAATCATTCCAACACTTCTTAAACTACATTTTGATTCCTTCCCAGAGCTGACAGAGAAATTTCAAAGACGCAACATTTCAGACAGCTATTTGGCGGTAGTGAGTAGTGGAAATATAACAATCTACGAGAGAAAGAGCATGGCACAGTGAAAGAAGCACTCGTAGCAGATGTTCCAAAGTATAGACTCTGTTAGTAATCAGCTATCAGTCTCTAGAGGCTTGTTTACTCATGACTAAAAGGAGCTGAGAACATTACTTGTAAGATTCCTTCCAATTCCTTCCAATCTAGCATTCCAGATTTTATTAACAAGATAAGCATTTCTTGGGTGTTCATGTATTCTCTACCAGCCGTTAACATTAGAAAGAGAGTAATTATAGATGGCTGAACAGAAATTTAATGTTAGTATCACTTATCACTAAACCAAACACTAGATCTTAGCAGGATATTTTAAAACATTAGGGTTATCAGTAACCACAGAGGAATCAAAGAACAAATACATTTGAAAACTACTAACTTAATGATGTACATTTCAGTGATTCCAGAGTGAGGGAGCTACTCTCTTGAAAATCAAAGTAACTTAATATGAAAATTAAACTTTTTCTAAATATTTTGCTACTGCAAAAGAGTTGGCACTAATTACAAAAAGCAAGCTCATCATGAAAGAATTATATACTGTTAGGAAGAACTTACATCTAAATCTACTTTAACTATTTTAAAGAAATCATGAAGTTAAATTACCTCATCTATATTACATTCATGTTCTTTACAGAGAACTTCAATAATTCTTGTATCATTTTCTAGTTGTTTTGCTATCCGTGCACTCCTGTTCTGACCTCGCCTTGGTGTTCGAGGTGAACCATTAATAGGTATTACAGCTGTTTCTGTAAAAATGGTAAATTAGATAAGAACAATTGCACATTCCACTGTATAAAATAATGAAGTATTCTAATCATAATTCGGAAGGTCAGAAATAATCTTGGTAACATTCTGCTACTTTTATTTATTAGGCTTCATTAAAAGGCTAATGGTTTCATCTATTTACTGAGTATCTATGTAAGTTATATACTGGTAATAGTTTCTGTCATCCCTATTCTATTCTGCCCCCAACTAGCCCAAAAAGAAACTTACAATCCCATAGACAAGAAAAAGGCAAGGGAAACAGCCAGCTTATAGACTAATTCTAAGTGTATACTACTCAGTCTGCAAGGGGAAAAATGTTTTCTATCTTAAAAGAGTCTTAAAAATAATAAGCAAGTATTTATGGATTCAATTTCTAGACATAGGATAAAAATAAATAAGTTTAATTTAAAGTTTTAGCAACACTGTATAATTATAATGCTTTTAAAAATAAGCATATAAATATAATAATGTGATACTAAACTGCGATTTAAAACAAAAACTCTCCTGGATTATTTTGAGTATTTCCAATTCAAATTGAACATGGATTCAGCTATTAAAGAGATCACATATGACTCAGTATAAAAAGTATTAACTGCCTCTAGGCCCGACCAATAACTTACAGGAAATTGAGAGGACAGAGGAACATGTTAAACTATACCACAGAACGCAATCAGTAAAAATTAAACCATAGGAAACTCAACAGAACAAATCACCTGATTATTTAATAAATAAATTATAAGAAAAGAGAGAAAGAAAGATAGATGCAGGAACTTTTTTTAAGACTTAAAAGCATGTCAATCAATCACAAAGTATAGATCTTATCTAGATTCTGATTTCTCAACCTGTAAAAATTTTTTTTAAATTACTTTTATAAAACAATTGAAAATATGGACACTTACTTGATATTTGGTGGTATTAAGGAATCACTATTAATTGATTTTTAGGAGTGATAAGGGTACTGTCTTTATACTTTTTAAAAAGACTTTATCTTTCGGAGATACATACTGAAATTTATAAGGATGAAATGACATGCAAAAATGTGCTTGAAAATAATATAGCTGTGGAACTGAGCAGTAGATAGGACTACGAGTTGACCATAAGTTAAACACTGAGGGCAGGTCGTAAGCACATAAAGGCTTATTATACTAATTTCTACTTTTATGTTCACTTGTAATTCTCTGTAATAAAAATTTAATTTAAAAAATTTATCATAGCCAGTCAATTCAACACCTCATCCCATTTCTCTTTAATATGGCACTTAGAGAATTAAATATGCATTTAAATTATCCAAAAGAACAAAGCCTGTCAACCTAAAGTTACATCCTACATCAACTTATTAAAGTTATAACATTAAAAAAAATGAGGAAAAGGGATATAAAGATTTTTAAAGATTCAGAAATTTAAAAAATATATTGTCTTCTATTTTTTCCCTCTATTTTGCATGTGGTTTTCGCTAAGCAACCTGCATTTACTGTCAAATTATGTTCAAAACATTTTCAAAATTTTGCTCCAGACTTCATTTTTTCCATGATGTTATTGTTCACAAAGATGAACTAGATTTCAGCTTTTCAGCCGCTTCAACACCACTTTGAGACTTCTATGTTTTTAACTGTCTCTAGTAATCAGTTCAGGCTTAGTTAAGTTTACATTTTTCCACAATGTAATAAGTGATTTTTAAATCCTACTCTACATGCCACCAAAGGAAGTAGCTCCACTCTAAGAGAAATATACTTATCTTTGCTTAATGTTATCTAATTATTTCAGGAATAATTATTATTTAAAGACACGTTCCACCTCATCACCCACTGAAGTGGATCAATTACAGTTTATATGCAAAAAAAAAATCTATCACATAACCATTAACAAAAGTTTAGTTAATCTTTTCCTGTAGAATGGGCCACTCTTTCTCAAGCAATTTCTTTCAGATCTGTGCCTTGTCTCTTGATTTTCTCTTTACTGGGAATGCCCTTTCCCAACTTCCCACAACACTCAAATCCTAACTACTCTTCAACACTCAGTTCAAATGCCACCACTTTTATATGGTCTTCCTCTGTCTTCCCCAGCTGAGAAAACTTTCCCATATTCGAAACTCCCAAAGCATTTGCTGTGTTTTGGCCCAGACCATTTTCAACCATATACTTTAATTACTTGCTTGTCTTATCTCAACTTCTGTGTCTTATACTATAAGGGCAGAGTCCATGTCTGATTTCTTTTTTATTGCTCCCTTGGCTCTAGAACCATGTTTTGGATCTAGTAGACAGTCAATAAACAACTGTTGAATGATAAAGTAGGAAAGGCATAGATTACTTAAAATACTTACTATATGGTTCTTTGAGCAATGCAGGAGGTGAGAGTTTGATAAAATAGTCAAGGACACAGAGCATTAACTGAAATGAGATCACCAGATCATCTTCCACTTGCAATACTTCCCCTGAAAATAAAAAAGATTCACATTTTAAGGTAGAGATTGAGGTCTTTTAAGTCAGGGGAAATTGTGGGTATGGGTGTATCTATATATTCATTTATCCAACAATCACTAGAAGCATATTACAGATCTTTCTTTTTCCCTTTTTTTTTTTACAAAAATTCAGTTAGATTTGAAATATATAAAAATATATGAAGTATAATTCAACCATGAGAATTTTACTTTTAGGTATTATTACTATAATTCAGTCCCTATGTCTAAATTTATATTGACTTTTTTTTCCTTCTTTAAACTCACTTCCAGTTTTGGTTACAGTTATAAAATTCACTACCCCTGAAAATCATTTTGAAGAATGACACATGCTAATCTTCAATCCTATTTATTTGTGAAACCTCAAATATTTTCAATTTTAACCCACCTTAAAAATATTACAATAACTAAAGCCATTAAGAAATAACATCGCATAAACAACAGAAAGGACAAAAACCATGTGATCATCTCAATAGACGCAGAAAAAGCATTTGATAAAATTCAATACCCATTTATGATAAAAACTCTCACCAAAGTGGGTATAGAGGGAACATATCTCAACATAATAAAAGCTATATATGACAAACCTACAGCCAGCATAGTACTCAACAGTGAAAAACTCAAAAGCTTCCCACTAAAATCTGGGACAAGACACGGCTGCCCACTATCACCACTCTTATTCAACATAGTCTTGGAAGTCCTAGCCACAGCAATCAGGCAAGAGAGAAATAAAAGGGATCCAAACTGGAAAAGAAGAGGTAAAAGTGTCACTATATGCAGATGACATGATACTACATATAGAAAACCCTAAAAGGTCCACACAAAAACTACTAGAAATAATCGAAGAATTCAGCAAGGGAGCAGGTTACAAGATTAACGTTCAAAAATCAGTTACATTTCTTTACACTAATGATGAATCAACAGAAAAAGAAAGTAAAGAAACAATCCCCTTTAAAATAGCACCCAAAGTAATAAAATACCTAGAAGTAAATCTAACCAAGGAGGTGAAGGACTTATACACAGAAAACTATAAAACACTGATGAAGGAAATTAAAGAAGACTTTTAAAAATGGAAAGATATCCCATGCTCCTGGATTGGAAGAATCAATATTGTTAAAATGGTCATACTGCCCAAGGCAATCTACAGATTTAATGCAATCCCTATCCAATTACCCAGGACATATTTCACAGAACTTGAACAAATCATAATCAAATTTATATGGAACCACAAAAGACCTGGAATTGCCAAAGCATTACTGAAGAAAAATAAAGAGGCTGGAGGAATAACTCTCCTAGACTTCAGACAATACTACAGAGCTACAGTAATCAAGACAGCATGGTATTGGTACAAAAACAGACATATGGACCAATGGAACAGAATAGAGAGCCCAGAAATGAACCCACAAACTTTTGGTCAACTAATCTTCAACAAAGGAGGCAAGAATATGCAATGGAATAAAGACAGTCTCTTCAGCAAACGGTGCTGGGAACACTGGACAGCAGCAATGTAAAGCAATGAAGCTAGAACACTCCCTTACACCATACACAAAAATAAATTCAAAATGGATCAAAGACTTAAACATAAGACAAGATACAATAAACGTCTTAGAAGAAAATATAGGCAAAACATTATCTGACATACA